GGCTTCTTGTGGTTAGTCTTAATCGTAGCGGGGTGTCGTGCCTCTGTATCGAAGCTGTACAAGGCTGTTTAGGTCGCGCTACCGATATGATTGAGGCCTTGGGGGATTGTCATGCCTTAGGAGGGGAGAAGGTTGTCGGCGCTTGGTGGTCTATGCGCGAGAGGGGGATTACTGGCGGACAGAGGAGGCTTGAGTAGCTGTGAACATTGTTGCATTTTAGGGCTGATTTCGGGTGTGCAGTGGCTGGTCTGGGGAAACTCCCCGGACAAGATTCCATGCCCTTTTCAGGGCTTCCGTTTAGGAGAGAGCGTCTGCTACCACTGATTCCGAGTTGAATGTGATATGGATGCCTACCTCCGTCTTCTTAGATTTGGACATCAGCCACCACCCTCCGATTGGTTTGGGTAGGGATGGAGCTGTAAGGCTTTTCAAGAGGGTTTCGGTTACCTAAACCGAAGAATTCAACTTGCGGAAACTACCTCAGATTATAATCCGTTTGGCGCTAATGGCCGCTGATTCTAGTATGGCTGCATTGTCGAATACCTGTTGTTTCGATAGTGTGGTCGCCTGACCTAGAGCAGCACATGCTGGGAATTTATCCTTAAATAGGTCTATCAGGTGACTTAAATCGTTATCTAGTGCCGCGACTTTCCCACGCAGTTCGTGTATTATCGATGCTTGCGGGTCAGGGGCGACTAGAGCCGCTTCTAGCGCTATTTGAGTGCTAGCCCAGTCACTGGTTTCAGACACCCCATGTGGCATGGGGGTTTCCCGCATGGGTAAAATGCCCTCGTCGGAAGACTCAGAGAGCTCAATACACTGAGTTAAAGAGTAGGGGTACTAGTAAAATATAAATCGGAATGGGATAAGATGGAATAGTGTTAGTTTAAGGTAGTCACAATTAAGGATGTATGCAATGATGTACGGATAAATACCGACAAAACGTAAAAAAGAGAATTTATCGATCCACGACAGATTTTTAACCGCGCGCGGTCAAGGTCAATTTCAGTTGTCAAGACTCGGTGTTTGAAGCTCACGACTGACGTGGTCCCTATCACCTCCTCTGGGAGTTTGTTCTAATCATTTACCACTCTCTCCGTAAAGAACTGTGCTCGGAGTCTGGTTCTGATACGTTTTTTTTTTAAATTGAGGCTGTGATCTTTCAAGTTGTTGTGTTCACTGAATGGCAGTAGCGGTTGCCCGTTTATGCTGAGAAGAGCTTTGTGTTTTGAAAGCCTTAATGAGGTTCCCTCTTCTTCTTCCCGTTCGAGAGAGAAGAGATTAAACTGTTGCAGTCTTTCCTCATATGCTCTCCCCCTTAGGTTAGGGAACCACCTATTGAACCGCCTCTGTACCTGCTCTAGCACGTTTATGATCCTGACCAGGTAGGGTCTCCAGGCTTTCACACAATATTCCAAGTGCGACCGGACAAATATCTTGCACAAAAGGAGTAGTACCTCCGGTTTCCTTGAGCTTACTACTCAGTGCGGCTGATATGGAGTCCTTAATACTGTTAGGGCAGCCTTATCACACCTTGCTTGAGGCTGAAAATCCGCTGAGATTTCCACTCTAAGGTCCTTTGTGGCTGCCCTTGCTGTAGCACCGCTTCCCATCCCGGGATTCCGCACAGTGTGCTCTATGCCTACAGCCACTAGGTGGACGCATTTGTGCCCGTTGAGCTGTAAGTCTCACTCGGTGGTCCATTGGTGGACACTATCCAAGTCATTTTGCATCGATGCGTGAACCGAGTCAAAGATTTTTACGTCGTCAGCGAACCTAAAACACGGGTTACCTAACTTCTGATCTGCGTAGAGGACGAATTGTAGAGGCCGGAGAACTGAACTTTGAGGTACCGCACTATGCATATGCCATTACCTTCATATTTTCTCGGCTAAACGCACCCTGAATATCCTTCTAATTAGGCTTACCCTGATTCACGCCACTATTTGGTTTGACAGGTCGAACCACTGAAGCTTGGCTAACAATAATCGATGGTTCACTGAGTCAAAAGCCTCCTGGAAATCTAAGTAAATTACCTAGATCTTTTCTTCCCCGTCGAATCTCCTCGTCCCTTTCTCCAAGTAGCATAGTAGGTTAGATAAGCAAGATCTCTTACGCAAAAATCCCATACTGCGATCAAGCAACCAGTCCGTGCCTTTCCAGGTGGTCGACTATTCTGTCTCGGTTCAGTCTCTCCATCACCTTGAGCACCAAAGAAGTTAGGCTGAAGGGCCTGTAATTTTCCGTGGTTTATTTATCTCCAAATTTGTGGATAGGCATTATGATAGCGTGCGGTCACTCCTCCGGCACGGTTCCAGTTTCTAGCGAAGAAGTGAAGAGCTTCACCAGTGGACCTGCCGCTATCGAGGCTAGTGATTTCAGGATGGTCAGATGGATAACATACCGTCCGGTCCGGCTGCCTTGTACTTAACCAATTGAGAAATGCTTTTTTCGACTTCTTCACCCTGAATTGGTTTATCATACATTGCCGGTATATCTCTTGGACAGTTTGAGCAGGGTTTCCCATTTTCTGTCCTGTAAACCTACTGGAAAATACTTTTTAGTACCTCTGCCTTTTCGTAGTTGGTGTTCGTTACTGTCTCTTGTTTCTCTCTCACGCACTCCACCCCACTTCGTGGGCATTTCTTCGACTGCCCGTACCCGAAGTATGCCTTGGGGTTTTTCTTGGCGTCCTTAAACAGTCTCACCTCATATGCTTGCTTGCATTCCCTTTGTACTCTAGTGGCTTTCTTCCTGGCAGCCAGGTACTACGAGAGATTGCGGTGGCCTCCTCGGGCTTTGTACCGCTTCCACGCCTCTTGCTTTCCAATGTTTATTTTGGGCGCATGAGTGTTCCACCTCCGTGGAGTTCCAGCCTTCCTGAGTCGCCGGATTGATACAACTCCGTTTCAAGGTGTATTTGGTTCCGCCTGATCATCCCCATTATGCCTGAACAGAGTACGGTTCCATCGTCCAGTCCAGAGACGACGCTTTCCTGATAAGTTCTACTTGGTTTACTCGGCGGAAGTTCCTTCCCCTCTTATCGAGTACCCGTACCCCTTCTAGGGAGTACGATAGGCGAACCACAGCATGGTCGCTCTTCCCTAGCGGTGCTTCCATTTCAATTCTGTGGATATCGTTTAGGCACCGTGTTATGATTAGGTCTAATATCAACCCAGCCTAGCCAGCTCTCCATCTGGTTTCATCGTCTACATGCTGCACTATTGCACGTTCGTGGAGCGTAGAAGTCAGACGGTCTCTGAGTGACCCTCTTGGAGCCACCCAAGTATGCTAGTTTATCTCCGGAGCGTTAAAACCGCCCACTACAAAAAGCTTCAGTGAGCCTGTCGTAGCGTTCGTTATGAACTGTAGCATTTCGTTGACCTCGTATACGTTGGAGGACGGTCCCCGGTTAACACAGGCTATGGACCCTCCAATGCCTCCTACTTTTACTTGGATTTTAGGTGTCTGAATATTAGATGTAAGTAATCGTCTGCTCTCCTTGCAATCGTAGTAATCTGCTATGAGAAGCATCACTCCTCCACTCATCCTGTCGTCGTCTCTGTCAACCCTGCACGTAACGAAGTTCGGTGGGGCTAGCTGACTGACTCGGTCATCCTTTTGTAACCAAGTCTCAGTGACTGCGATCGCGGCGGCATTGTGCAGCCATGCTCTCATTTTGCACCATTTTTTCCCTGAGCTTGTCACATTAGTATGAGCAGCATGAAGGGAAGCCATCCTCCGTACTCTCCTGCCAGTATCAGAAGTGGCGGAATCGTGCTCGGTAACTAGTCCCAAGCAGCTCCTCCGTTTTTTGAGGAGCCCCCGTGTGACTCTATACCCTTGGGTTGTCTTAGCGTACTTCCCGTTAAGAGCCCTGGGGTGATGAGTGCGAGGTTTCGACCACAGGTGCAGCACGTGCAGCTTGTTCACCCTGGTATTCTAACGCGTGTATACGGACTTTTCATTCCCATGTTAACTAGCTTCGAAATCAGCAGTCTCCATGAGCCACCGCCGTGTACGCTCATAGCTCTATTCGGGCTTACATGCGGTTTATTTCTACCACCCACAGTGTTCATCCGACTCGACCCTGATAGTCCCCCTGGATTTTGTCGTTAATTTACCCGCTGCAGCGAGGAATCTATCTCTATGTCGGGGATTGGCAAACTCCACCAGTGTGGGCTAGGGTCTTTGTTGCCCCGACCCTGCCATATCCCCAGCCTAATCACTCTCTTTATGGTAACATGCCCTGACATCTCTATCGCTCTTAACAGGTTTGCGAAGTGGTAGATTACAGCTCTATCCCTCTGTCTGCCTTCTTTAATAAACGGTTCGGGTAGCCCTTTGACTACCTCATTTCGATTTCTCCTTGTGGCAATGTCGCTAGTTTTCTGGAGTCGACATAGAGCTGTGTTTATCACTCCGTTGCAGTCTCCTACATGCATGATTCTGTCAATTATCTCGTTCAGTTTCTTCTCAAAATACTTCCAGTTCTCTTCCTGAAGACGTTCGCTTCTGTTTACTTTTTGGGCTATGTGTCCGCCATCATCGTGGAAGACATATTTCTGTCCTGTGTACTTCCTCCTGTGGATTCACTGTGTAAATAATTGCAGTAAGGACACAAAGAGCAGCTCTTCGTGTTCATAGTGCAAGAAGATCGTCGGCCCTCGTTCGAAGGCCCTATTATGTGATGTGTCAATGTTGGCGTCATGTAACATCTACTAGCGTACCACCAGACATGTTTACAGCCCTCTATTCGTGTAACTCCCCAAATTTGAAGTTTGTATGTGACGATTGTCTCCCGAAATTCCGCACACCGAGTGTAAGCAGATGGAGTCCTGCCCTTGCCGATCGCAAGTGGGCTGGAGGAGTGTGCGCAACAGTCCGCATCAGCCGAGGCGCCGCCGACTGATACCGCCAATGAGCAGAAACGACCGAGACGCAGGCGTGCAACCAACAACGCGAGACCACCCCCGAGTGAGAGCCGCGCAGCGACAGCGATGGAGCCTGGATCCCCTGCGCGGATTCAGACACCGGAGCCACTAGCTTCGTTATCCAACGTCAACACCAGATCGTACGCCCGAGGTGCTGCTGCCACGCATGCCCCTAACAGTACTGTGACCAGCGTCACCGAACGCCCTTTGACCCAGTCGGCATCCCGAGGGCCCCCCAACCCCAGGTCAGTCCCCCGACCGCCGTTGCAGGAGACCTGCGGCGGGAACCCCCTCAAGATAGCAATGCTTTCTGGCGGTCAATATGCCGGAGTACAAGAAACCCTCGGCGCAAGCCCGGCTTAACGCAGACATGTCATTGCTTTGAGGAGTCCAAGCCAGACTCTCCGTCCCTGGCGAAGAAACATAGGCCCAGGCGACAGGAGTGAAGGTCGCTTTCAGGCTAGGAGCCAAACGGGAGGGCGGCGTCCCTCGTCCACTGAAAGTCGCACTCGGATCGATGGATGAAAACAAGTTTGTATTCCAACGCCTTAAAGGCTACTACGCCACCTCGACGCGGACGAACGGCAGCATCTGAAGCAGGCATTAGCTGAGATCCATGAGCGTCGAGCAAGTGGTGAACATCCGGGATTTTCAAGTCCAGAGGAGGCGCCCACATTTCCGGTGGAGCCCTCTTGCAATATCGAACAGAAAGTCTCCTCCGGCGTAAACTGGAGGGACGTGTGGTCGGCTGCCATCGACAGGCGCAGCCGCGCGTGCATAGTGTCTGTCAATGTGCGTAGTGTTTTGAACAAATAAGACGATTTGGGGGTGTTTGTCATGGTGCACTTCCCGGTGGTTTTCGCCCTCACCGAAACCTGGCTCACCTCCGACGTTCTTGGCTTTGAGATCTCGCCCCCGGGGTATGCGTCATTTCGTTCGGACCGTGCTCAACCAAGGATGGGTGGGGGCGTCATGCTGGTTATCCACGAAAATGTACCGGTTACTCACCTCTACAGCTACGAGGATCCTGACGGTCAGGGAGAATCGCTGTGGTGCAATACCAAACTGTGCTGCAATGGCTACAGGACGATAAGAGTCTATTACAGAACACCAGCGACAGCCCCGGTGGCCATCCTGGATGATATGCGGCGATGGGCTAGCAACGGTCACTGTTTGATTTTGGGTGATTTCAATGTCCCCCCAATCGATTGGGACAAAATCTTTGCCTACCGGGAGCGGACTAATTCTTTAGAGATCTCCTTGAAGTAGCAAACCAGTTGATCTTGCATCAGCCCTCCCGCGAGCCCACCAGGATCAACGATTCTGCCCAATCAGTTTTAGATCTGGTGTTATTCCCTCGAAAATCGGGCGTCGACGTCACTAATCACCTCCCGTTACTCGGTTGGAGTGATCATTCGACCCTGTTTGTGCATTGGCGACGTGAAGCTCCGTATCACTCTTGACCACATTTCGGACCCAATGTCTGGAAAGCGAGCTACGATGGCATGAGGATCGCAGCGCATTCCTTCTCCTGGGTGATTACCTGCCCTGAGGGAGTATACCTTGCCTGGACTACCTTCCGGGACGGCATCCTTAAATTGGTGGCAGCCTTCTCTCCTCCCAAACGCTTCCAGTCACACGTTATGAGTCCCCCTGGTTTGACCGCGAGTTACGTCAGATGCTTAACCGTCAAAACAAGGTGTGGAAAGCGTTTTGCACTTGCGGATCTATGACCAATACAAAGTGCTGCGTAATGCGTGAAATTAAATCCAGGAAACGACGGATGTAAGAGGAAGCCAGGGCATCCGAAGCGACCTTTATGCCGAAGCGTTTCTATGCATACGTCCGTCGCCGCACACATGCAACGGCTGATGCACCATCGTTGAAGATTAACGGTGCCCTGGCAGAAACCGATGTTGACAAGGCGGAAGCTTTTGCGCAACACTAATCATCTGTCGACGCCACCGACACATCACCGACTGTCCTGCTCTGCGCCTCTGCTGTCTTGGCAAGCCATCTCGGTAGACGAGGTGTGTGATGCACTTTTGGCTCTGGAACCGTACCAGTCACCGGGTCCGGACGGACTGCATCCCATCGTAGTGAAGGAGATGACGCCGGTCATTGCACCTACCTTGGCCGTCTTGTTCGAACAATCATTGACCGAGAGGAGGTTGCCCACCGAGTGGAAAACCGCGATTGTACGCCCTCTCTTCGAAGGAGGAGCCCTTGAGGACCCCGTCAACTACCGCCCGGTCAGTCTCACCTGTGTGACCGTCCAGGTGATGGAACGTGTACTCGCCAAGCGACTCCGGGCACACCTCATACCGAATGATCTCCTGTGTTCAGCGCAGCATGGGTTCCGTCCGCAGCGATTTCGAGTCTCGGATCCGCTACTTATTCGAGAGCAATTGGCGTCTGCCAAAGCCACCAGCCACTAAACGGACGTCATCTTCATTGACTTCAGCAAGGCATTCGACAAGGTGCCACCTGGACGGTTGTTGGAGAAGCTGATGGCTCACGGTGTTACGCACCATCTACTAGCATGAATTGAGGAGTGCCACAGGGTTCTCTTCTAGGACCTGTACTGTTCCTCCTGTTCGTGAATGACCTACCCTCCCAGTTGAGCTCACCTTGCCTCCTCTACGCAGATGACGTGACACTGTGGAGAGCCATGAGAATATCAAAGGACCACCATGCCCTCCAAGAGGATTTGGAAAAATTGCACCACTGGGCTGACGTCTGGGAACTTCCAGTGAACTCATCGAAATGCGCTCATATGCGCCTGAGATGGAATACATCGGATATTCCTGATCGGATGAACAACGTCCCAATGCGTTCGACGACTACCAAGAGGGATCTGGGAGTTATCTCCGCATCCATGAAAACACAGATGAATACCACGCGAGTATGTTCGACGGCAAGGAGTAGGCTAGGTGCCATCCGTCGGTCGTTTGACGGCTTGTCGTTCACGGCATTTAGAAATCTGTTTGCCTCCCATGTTCGCCCCCGGCTTGAATACGGTGAACCAGCTGTATACCCCTGCACGCCAACTTGGAACGGGTACAGCGCTACGCCACCCGCTTAGTCGCGGGACTTCACGGGATCAACTATGAAGTTCGGCTCCAGGCACTCTAACTCTTCCCCGTTAGATACAAGAAACTCCGCGGGGAATTGATCTACCTGTGGAAGATTCTAAGTGGCGATCTGGGACCGGAGTTACGTGCTATGTTTCCACTGCGAGATTGCAACCGAACGCGCTGCCACAGGCTCACCCACCGGAAGCTTGAGTCAATGGGGCTTCATCTGGTTTATCGCCTTTCCCGGAAAGCGACTTCCCTCTGACTTTCACTCCCGTTCAGTTCAGTTTGCACAGGGCGATGTGTGGCCCGGGTCAATCTTGCGTCCAGACTGATGTGTTGTTGGCTGTTCTTGTGGCTTCCAACACTGCAGAGGTGGTGGAGGAGCATAATGGAGCGCGTTTCAAATGCCGTCTCGACGAGCAATTGGTGAGACGCTAGCAGATTGCAGACCTATGAGTGGGTTGCTATCAGTACCGGCAGTGAAGAGGCTCATACGGGGCGCGGCACCTCTGCCTTCTCAACACAAAGATGAAGATGAAGATGACTACTGTTCCAGTAGCTATAACCTTTTGCTCTATGACTGCAGGGGATGTATTTCATGTTGAATTTTTGAAAATCCTTTAAAACCCATGATGATTTATGGTGACAAATCTATCTGTGTGTTGCTTCTCTATTGACATTTGTCAATCACAAACACCATACATCATTATCTATCTGTCAATTCGATGCCCGGTACATATGCATTTGGCGTAGTCAGAGAAAGTGAGCGACTGTTTGGCTTTCTGGACATCTTATTTGGCTGTCGCTTGCTCGATTGCTTTTGAGAGCATATTTGAGGTTTACTTTATTGTACATTTTGTAATGATTTCGTTTATTCAGTACCGTAAAACATTACGGATCAATCGTGTTTTATTTCGGGATTCGTATCGGTTTCGGCTATGCGTCACTCAAGTGCAAATTGGTTGACGTACAGCACTTAAATTGGAATCAAACGAGAAAACAATTTCAAAGATGTTGAGACGAGGAATCAAGGAAACTGAAACCCAACACGAAGTAACCCGGCAAGTCAATGGGGGGCTGTGGGTCATTTTGATTCTTTAGAAAATGTTAGGTCTGTTAGTTCTGTCATTGCTTTTTCATGTGTAGATTCAGACATAGAGGATATTGATTTATTTAGATTGCGGGTTTCTAAATGAAAGCATAAGTTGAGACTAGCTAGACAGCAGATAGAACAGGCCAAACGTGAAAAAACCGATTTCAGCGGCATAACATTACCTCGAGCTGAGACTGCATAGAGTTACTTTTCTCCAAATAAACAATCCGTCCCGAATCAAAGAACGTATGCCCATGTAAAAGTCTGTTTGCTAAGAGTAGAACGGGCACATTTCGATGGTAATCCCGAACAACATTGCCAAAACATTCGCCAATACGAAACTTTCGTTGAATGCAAAATCGACGATGCAGGGTAAAGGTTTCTGTTTTTGATACACTATTGTCGAGGGAAGACCAAATGGGTCATTCAAGGGTGTGCAATGCTGGACCCGAAAGTGGGCTACCCGAGAGCCAGAAATATACTGAAGGAGATGCTCGGTCAACCATTCCGAGTGGCACGAAACATGATTGACAGGTTGCTAGAAGAGACGAGGCGTACACGAGGCGATACTAGGTCTCTATCAAACTTGGTCATCAAGATACAGAACTGCAACATCGCCCTCAACCACTTCAAATATCGTTCGGAATTCAATGCATTTCATATGCTGGAATCGATTGTCAGATGTTTGCCTGCCGAAATGCAGACAGCCTGGGCGACCGAAGGCGAATGAATCAAGAAAAGGAACAGAGAGGCAACCTTTGACGAACTCACTCAATTCATGGGCCGCCAATCTCGTATAGCCAATAGTCGATTCGGTCAACTAGCGAGCAAAAGCATCATGACCGCTAAACCCTCAACCAACTTTGCGCCGTCTGGATCTCGAGGTCCCCATCCCCCACACCACTGGGCGAGCACCAACTTGATCTCACATGACACAAAAAGACCGACTAAGTGCAAACTGAACTCAGGTGTCCACAAGCTTGTTACCTGCCCAGAGGTTTTGGCAACGAATGTGATGGACCGCTGGTCAGTAGCTAAAAAGACAGGGTCCTGCTTTGTGTGCTTGAGCGATACCCACAGAGCAGACATTTGCAGAAACCGAACCAACGGTGGTCAAGACGATTGCAGGGTTCGGCATCACCCCGATGGAACAGTCGAGCAGCGAACAAATAATGGCCGGGTCGATAGAACCAACGAACACTGCGGATGATACACTAAAATCTGTCTACACTATCAGACGGGTGTCAAGTGGGCCGGTCTGATTGGCAATAATACCAATCCAAGTACAGACTCCTCGTGGTATAGTCCAAGCCGTGGCGTTTCTTGACAATGGGTCGGATACCACCCTCGTTAAAGTAAGCTTTACGCTAGAAAACGACGTGGGTGGACAAACCATCTAATTGGTAATCAGCACGGTGAATGGGGCACGAGCAGTTCTAGATTCTTAACTGAGTTTAAAGTTAGCTCCCACATCGGGAGAAGATACGATAAACGTGCACCAGGCACTTACTATCGCCGAACTACCAATGAGAGCTTCCGAAAGTATCCGGTCGTTTGCACGGCGCTGGCCTAATCTCCACAATCTGCCGTTCGAGGATGTTCCGGACACCCGAGTGGACATATTGGTCGACTGTGATGTGATTGAAGCGTATTGGGTTCCGGACCGAAGTATAGGAGGCCGTAGAGATCCGTTTGCTGTATGCACAATGTTTGGTTGGATAAATTGCAGGCAGCTGAATAATTATTCAGCCTTGATCAAATTCATAGGAGACGATCTGCAGCGGCTTTAAACCCAAGAGTTCGGCGATACAGCAGATGACCGGGTATCTATGTCGAGAGAAACCCGAGCAGCCCTGGCTATCGACACCCAAACGACACGACACAGCGGAACCCAGTTTGAAGTGCAGTTACCATGGCGAACCGGATCCAATCGACTGCCAGACGATCGAGGGATAGCCCTCCATAGTCTTAACCATCTGAAAGGACGATTGAAAAAGAACGCATAGTTGAAGGAGGCCTACTGTAATGCCAGAAAACGCAATTTAGAGTTCAGATATATCGAACGCGCAATGGGAGAAGTCGAAAAGGAGCAATCATTGCAGTACCTTTCGCATCACCCTGTCCTGAACCCCAAAAAACCTCAGAAGATCAAGGTTGTCTTCGATTGTGCTGCCAAGTGTGCCGAGATTGCCATAAATGACCATCTACTACAGGGCCTAGATCTGACGACTCCGCTGATTGAGGAGCTGTGCAGATTTCATCTGGGGTCATTTGCGGTAGCGGTAGCGGCTGATATCGACCAGTTGTTCATGCAGGTTAAAGTCTCCGAAGGGCAAGGGGATGCTCTACGGTTGTGGTGGTGGCCGAATGGAGACCTAGACTGACCTGCCCAGGAATATCCGATGATGGTGCACCTGTTTGGTGTGATACCTCTCCCTTCTGTGCAAATTTCGTGAAAAAATCTGCTCAGCATTTTGAAACCCCGGTAGGCTCCTGTGTTGAACATAAATTTTATGTGGACGACTTCTTGGGATCCTTTGAAAGCATCGAGGAAGCAGTCCGATACATTAGGGATTTATCCAAGCTACTGCACATGGGAGGGTTCATGTTGACCAAGTGGATGTCCAACAGTCGTCATGCAATCGATTGCATCCCAGTTGATGAGCGGGCGCCGAGTTTCCGTGAATTGCAGGGGAGTTCGTTACCAACAGATAGAGCACTTGGTGTGCAATGGGACTAGGAAAAAGACCAGGTTTTGTTCCAACTCCAGTTACCTGAGACGACAGCGACTCCCAGAGGAATTCTGTCTTCGTTGGCTAGCCTTTACGATCCAATGGGGTTCGTCGCACCGTAACTACTTCCGGGCAAGATTCTGCTGCAGGACCTGTGTAGAAAAACGGTTACTTGGGATGAGACCCCATGGGAAGCGGATCACAAGACCTGGAAAAGCTTGTGGCTGAGCCTGTCCAAGCTGGGCGATATATGACTCCCTCGTCCCATACCAGAAATACACAAAGGAGTGCAAAGTGAGTTACAAGTTTTTTCGGACGCGTCGGAGGTGGCATACGAGGTGGTTGCCTACAGTTGCTCGTCTCGGCCAAGAGGAAAGAGGTATAGCAGTATTCTGTTCGCAAAGACCAGGATCACCCTTGTTGCGTCCGCTTGAGCTCGTAAGTTCAATACGTGTATTAAACTACACCAACACCGCGATCTAGCACGAACGGGCCTGAACCTTGGAATAACGATCACTCCTCAACTGGAATGA